AAAAAAAATACAAAAGAAACATCTCTCATATAAAAAAAAAAAGATATATGTATGTATACACATTTTCGAGGAATAAAATAAATGTTTATAAATTTATATAATTTTGCGCAATTAATTAAAGGTACTGTTTTTACAGGCGTTGTAGGGTGCTAATACCTTCCCTACATGTAATCGACTCCCGAACCCAACTTTAATTTTAAAGATTATCTTTTAAAGGGTTTTCCAATGTTTTTTCCTTAAAATAAAATATTGGTGGCGGCTCCATTGAAAAATGAATGTTAGCGTCATCCCGTCGTGATCCCGGTTACGGCATGCAGATACTGATGTTAGTGTACTATTAACACCTATGAGTGGATTTACCATGAAAGGTAAATACTGAAACACAAATAGAAACAAATGATGCAGGGTATATTAAAAACCCTGTGCTCTCCCCTTGATTGCCTTATTAGTAATCTGTTACATCACCTTTTCCTACCTGAAGATTTCAATATCTGTTGATTGTCTTTTTTACATCTGATATATTCAAAGGCTCGGATTCCATGTGCTCCTTCCTAATATACCCCTTCGTAATTAGTGGTTTCCTATCACATTACCAGCATAAAGGTTCTTCTAAATTCATGTGTTGTTCGACATTGTAATCCTGCATATGTTAATCATGGATTTGGGAATGTAAAATTCAGGTATAAGGCCTTGAGTTGAAAGCAAAGAAGAAATATTTTAACTTTCAAAACTTTTGGTTTTGGCACATTTATATGTTGAGTTAATACTCGTGTATCTTATTTTATTGCTTCCTCTCTATTCTCCTTTGTAACAGAACCGATGTTATGCAGGTGGAGGCAATATTAGACAAGGAGAATTTCACTTTGGAAGAGCTTTTGGATGAAGAGGAAGTGATCCAAGAATGCAAGGCCTTAAACAGTCATCTTATTAACTTGTATGTGTCTATTTAATTTAAATCATTCCAGTTTTTCATTCTCCTAACAAATCTTGAGTTTCATTTTTTCATTTAATTTTTTGAATTGTCCAATTTCTATTTTTGGTTATAATTTAAAGTGAATGTAAATATATAAGGCACAAGATGGATAGGAAATTATATAAACAATTCAATAAAAGGTACATGTTTATGTTTCCATTCATTTCCTGTGAGATTTTTACATGTGAAATTGATGTCAGACGAAGAGGTTTTTACTTCATCTTGTTTGTGAACTTTATATTTAGTTTCAAGCCATATACCTTGTATTGATTTCCCCTTCTCATTCTTATAATTTTAGTTGATGCCTACAACAACTACTTATGTAATCTTTGTTTTGTATGAATCACAATATGCACAGATAATAGATAGATAAAAATAAGTTACAGAGAGAAGACAAGAATGAAAATGAACTTAAGTACTCATATGTCTACCTGAATCTCTTCTCCTAACCACTAAGTTTGGAGAGAAGAATTTAATATCATGCTTTTTCCTTATTCAACAAGTGGTTTTTAAACAAGTGAAATGAAGAAAATAAAATTGGCAGAATTTGTTGAACATATGATAAAGAAAGTTCAAGAATGAACGATAAAACTGTAGAAACATATAGTAAGAAACTCATCACATATATTGAACTATTTAGTCTTCTTAAATGTAATAAAGACACTACCAGGGATAGGGACTATGTCATTTCCCTGATGGAGTGATTCACATTCTGCTTAAATTTCAACATACTATAACCCAGTAGATTACAATTTTGTTTAACAACATGCATACTTAAATGTACACTAACCTCAAAAACTAGATAATTGCTCACATCGGGAGGAGAAGGTATATCTTTGATACAATCTTCGTAAGCAATTAGAGGGATCTTTTGTAAAAGACCATCATCAAAATCCCTGTCAACAAATCCGAGGCCATAATCAAGTCTAAGAATTTTGCCTGTTTTATACGTGTTTGAGAAATGTAATGTTCTCATAAAACGAGTTATAACAATCAAAAAGGTTTGTATAATTTGTTAGTGAAAATAGGTGAGATCCCCCTTCTTTTTGTTCAGGTGTAAAAATAAGCCTATTTAATAAAACTTGGGTTTAGTTCTTACTTGAAGAAGCCACCCCTAACATTCCAAGCAACATTTCTTGCAAGACACAAGATAGGGACTGCATTGCTTGCCTACAAGATAAAGACGTTTAATCAGTTCCAAACACTAGAGAAATAATGAAATTTATGTATAAAACTTAAGATACTGAGTATCATATTATATAGGTAAATGAAATTACCTCAGCTTGTTGAGCATAGTATGGAGCAAATGCAGGCACAACATGCACCCGAGGTTGGTCTTTTTCATCCCACACTTTCAAGCGATCATCAACTACCAATGCCATCTTGGGATGGCATAAGCCATTTTGGAATACATTAAATAATGATTTCTTTAAACCTATTTATAATATATTGAAACACACAAGAAGCAAAAAAAATAAATGAACAGTTGCAGCAGAAAAACTGGTATGAATTTTAAATTTTTAAATACGAGCTATTGTCATCCTTCTAATTTGCTTCTTTTATGCTGACTTGTGTACACGCATGGTAGCATTGGTCTTTCTGGATGTACCAAAATGGCTATAACTTGTAAATATAGTAATAATTTCCTATTGTTACCTTGGAATTGGAGTCAAAAATCAGAGGTAGCCTTTGGATTCACAACCAGCAATAGGGAATTTTTATGTGGGGGCAGAAACTGAATCATCCTTGGCTAATACTGTTCCAAAGTTAGGCAAGTTTTCAACAAGTTTGGTGACAGAGGGTTTTGGAGGTTATTGCTTTGGTAGCAGTAGTGGTTTGGAAGAAAAGGATTAAACATAGACAAATACACTTGACTCTAAGTTGAACAAGAGTTTTAAGCAACTTGTTGCTAACGTTAGCTATTTTAAGTATGTATCATTTATGTTTGAAAACTTTGAGCCATTTATTAGTTTCTTTGTCTCCTATACTCTCATATATATGTTCATGTGCAGTATTAGTTGTTTACAAATTTGGTAATGGGTGTTGCCTTTAAAAATTATCAAATCTGGTTTTACAATGTAGTGGCAGATTGAAAACCTAGCAGGCTTGAATTTGGGTGTGTCTACTCTCTAGATACAAAGGAATTAAATACACTTTGTCACATTCCTCATTCTGTTTTTACTGTTATCATGTTTGTACTAAACAAAGTTTCAGATTGAACATTTCAGCCTTAAGTTAATTTTTAAGTTACTGTTATCCATTGAAGAAGGGGAATCACTACTAGAAAGGAGTGTCAAATTGGCAGTTGAAGCCCGTGATAGTTTCTGGAATTCAGTCAAAATAAATCCTGCGAATAGATATAGAAGAGCTTTGGTTGCAGCCTCCATTGGAAGCTATGGAGCTTACCTTGTTGATGGCTCGGAATACAGGTGCTTCAACACTCTTTAAAATTTAATTGTTTGGTTCTTATCTGTCTTGCAGAGAAACTACTATATGTTTTCTGTATGTTTGCAGAATTCATTCATATTGATTTCTTCTTGTAGTGGTTGCTATGGACCAGATGTTAATTTAAAGAAGTTGAAGGATTTTCATCGCTGCAGATTGCAAGTTCTCGTTGAAGCTAGTCCAGATTTGCTTGCTTTTGAGACCATTCCAAACAAACTTGAAGCTCAGGTCTTTTTATTTTTTTGTTTTCTTTTTTCTTTTTCCAATAAGCATGTTTCATAGAAGTATACCTTGATGTAATTTCTTAAATTAAAATTACTGCAATATATTTACAGCACAAAATTATAATTCTTCTACTCTATTGTTCATCCACTTCTCTCACGTTTCTATAATTATATTTTGTATTTTAAAATCAATATGTTCATCTCTTTGACAGCCCTACCATATTGGTTCTAAATTCAATAAACATACCCACTCTTTATTTATTTTATAATGTGTTCTTTTTCACATAGTGTAGTCTCTTTTATAATATGTGTTCCCACATTTGGCATTTCTTAACTGTCATGTAAGAATTGCCCTAATTATTATTCTAATATATCTTAAAATTTTGATTAATTGTGTATATAACCACTACAGTTGTGCAACAATTACTTTATAAATGGACTTTTGAAAGATTACCTAACACGGTGCTCAGTTCAATGTTATTTGATGCATTAGCTTAGTAAGACATAAATGTGAACTATGAATTAGTATATATAACTACACTACAAAGGGAATTAGCAGTGAATAAATGATATCCCAATTATCATATAATCAAGCATACTGTCTAATATGTTATAAACTTGATCAAAGCATAAAAGTCATAAACTAAATATAAAGATGCCCAACTCCCTAATATGTTAGTTGTGACTTGTGAGCATACTGTCTGCAGCAGACACTTGATGGCACTAGGTGTGAACCTAGCAAGTGTATTTTAACTTGTTAATGACATTCCAGTTCATGAACCCATTTTAACCATTATCAAGAGATTAATATATAGGATCACACTTGATGTATGAGAGATCATGAATGCATCAAGCAGTTAGTTATTTTTCTGATGCATATATATTATATTTGTATCACCTAAATTATTTTATAAGACTAATGTTGGTTACAATTTAGATCAGGTTATGTTACGCAGTGACTAGATCAGATTACTCTAACAGTTCTAGAGAACATGTCTTTCTAAATCACAAGTCATAACAAAGGACTAGAAGAATTATCTAGTAGGTAACACCAACAATTTACATTGCAAACATGATTAACCAAGACACTGACACCATGACATTGAGTGCACTGTCACAACCCAGATTAGAGGAATATTATACCCTTAGAAAATGATATATCTATAAATTTTGAGGATCATCCAATTTTCACTTTAAAAAAGAAGGATCATCCACTTTCAAGTCCAGGTCACAGATGGTGTAGTAACCTAATAGGCAATTAGTATTAGAAACTTGAAAGCACGTTGAGTTTTCTACAGAAATTGCACTATCTGATGTCAATGGCAGCCAAATTTATGGAAGTTGAATGATTGGCTTTGGCTTTACAGTTGATTCATGATTGAGTTTCCCTCCTAATATTAATGATAAAATTAAATAAATTTACAGTCTAATCTAAATACCTAATTGCATCGAATCTGAAAATAATAGAAAGGAAGTTATAGAGAAGTAGCACAAAAGAAATTCAATACTTAAATACAAGAAGAGAAGCAACTCTAGAAACTCAATTTTCACCTAGTGAAAGTAAGGCACAAAAACAGAGCAGAGAGGAATGAAATAAATACAAAGAAGATTAACTCACAAGAGTATCAATTTGAAGCACTATATTTGCATAATGCAAAGCAAGGCCTGCAGGGCCCAATCTCTGGCAATTGCTCAAGTTTCCAACTAATGGTTTGTGGCCGTCTGCAGGTGCCCATGGATAAACATTACAAGTATGTATACAAAATCATTTCAAACTGGTTTCAACAGTAATTTATATTCTAACCCAGCCTAAACCAAATCCAAATTTATAACAGAACATAACAACCCCCTCTCTCCTCTTTTAAAAAGAAAAAAAGAAAAAAGAAAAAAAGAAAACTAAGTATTTTGAATAGGAATTCAACTTACATTTAATAGCTATAACTAAACATAAGAAACCCCTCTCCCCCTCTTTGGCTTTACTAACAAAGAGAAAATCAGAACAGACTCTCAACGTAATTGCCAACTAGAAATCTCAAAGTCAAAGTTCCAAATCCCCGTAACCATGTTGAAACAGTTTCACCAACCATGTACTTTACCAATTAATATCCTCAGAGCATAAAAGAAAAAGAGGGGGAAAAGGCCATAACCAAATCTTTTGCAACATATCAACTTGGTGCAATTGCAGTCCCCCCAGAATCAAAAAACAATAAAAGTTTACTCACAAGACAAAACCAAACTAATTAAAACAAAAACTAAGTGTAGATTAATCAGATTCATTACATCATCAATTCCACCAAAAGAAAAGAAACAAAACCAAACCTTAAACAATATATGATCAATCCCAAGTTGAACATCCTTGAAGGCCTCACGTGCACGCCTTCTAGCATCCACTTCATCCATCTTAGCACTCAAAATCTTCTGCAATTCTGCACTAACACCTGGAATCCTCATGTTTGATGACACCTTTTTCACCTCTCTCCTTTTACTCCTCTTCCTCTTGACACAAAATGCTGCTCTGAATCCTACACCACCCCCACACACTTGGATTCAGTCTGATCTAAAGACCCAGAAACAGAATCATAGAAAACAGACTCTGACACAAACCCATTAAAGAAAATGGTAATGGGTATAGAATATTAAAATCAAAATGAAATTTTTTTTTCTTCAAAAACTATCCTTATTAAATAAAACTACCCAAAAAATGGTCATATATTTTTATTATTAAGTTAAATAAGGTTTGAACTTAAGCTTCTACTTTTCACATAAATTTTAAACTTGATTTTGATTTGGCAGGAAGTGTGCAGAGGGTGATACTTCTCTGATACTTCTCTTCTTGACATCCATTAGTCAACATATCTAGTTTGTGATATCTTCTTAGTTTCTAGAATTGCTGTTTGATTTTGTTCTTTGCATCGTAAGCCAAATGTTCAAATAAAATATTTAATTAAAAGGTAAAATTTAGTTTGTAACAGGTATTTATTTTATGCTCTCTGTTATAAATTTTAACCATGTAACTTACATTCATTTATTTTCTTAGTGTTATGGGTGTCTATAATGTCATGGGAGGTAGATTTACAGCACAACCAAAGAACCTAGATTGGATTTATCCCATGGTAATTGATTTGTAACCTCAATATGCCTAAAATATTTTTTTATTAGCTTAAATTAAAAATTACTTATACAACTCAATCTAATTTTCATTTTAGAGTAATCAACAACAAGGAGGTTACGAATGTGGATATTATGTGATGAATTGGATGTTAGACATAATTGAAGGGGAAGTAACAAATGATTGGATTGAGGTAACGTAATTCTTTTACTTTTACTATCATTAATTAATTTATTTACATGATTTTTATGTAACTAATATATTATACTATATGTTACAGCTTTTTGATGATGTTGCACCATTGCCGGAAACCAAATTGGAAGACATTCGGAGTCAATGGGCAATCTTCTTTTTAGAAAAATTTAGAAATAGAGCATGATTTTTAGTTTAATTAGGATTGTTTATAATATATCTCCAAAACAATTTTCTGCCTTTATTTTTTAGTTTATTTTCTTATCCGAAAATAAAATAAACTAAGTAGTTAAAACTTGGTTATCATGTTTTGGTCAACAGGATCTATTTCTAATTTGATTGTGATTAAGCAAATGATGATTTAACTCTAGAGCATTACTAGTTTTTTCTCTATCAGCTTCTTCGAGGCTTGAAGTATATACACTCAGGTTATGATCTTTATATTTAGCTAGTTTTGTTTTTAGATTTCCTAATGTAGATTTTTCCTGGTTAATAGTTGCTAAATCACGTGATCATTATGCATTTTTCCCACTTGTTTTGCTCACAGGATTACGTTGCAACAAGGTGGTATAGAGCTCCTGAATTGTGTGGATCCTTT